CCCCGCTTCGCTCACTCGCCTTTGCTTCGACAAGACCCCTTTCAACTAATTTTATGCATCTTTATTCTTCTTAATATAAAAGATTTTTATTAAAAATAAACAAAAAATGAGATCCTCCCTCTTAAGGAGGCTTACGCCTCCTTGTGTTCGGGAGGCTTACACCTCTTGTGTTCTGAATAGACCTGTTCATGGGCCAGGTAGCACAACGGCCCGGCCCGGCCCGCACCCTGGTCGGGCTTGGTCATGTAATTAGGCCCATGGGCCTGACCTCGGGCCTAACACAATAAGCCCGACTGTGTTTTGGGCTGGGCTCGGTATTTGTCAAAAAAACCCGACCCGATCAGTATTATATATTTTATAAAATATATAATATGTATTTTATATATTATATAAAATATATAAATAATATAATATCTATTAAAATATATATTTATAACTTAATATATATATATTTTTTATTCTTTTCTTTATAATTTCAATCTCTCTCTCTCTCTATTCATCCGCTTCAGCAGTAATAATAGTAATAGTATAGGCTAAATTTTGGGCTCGGGCCCAGGCTCGGGCTTCAGGCTTTTTATGAGGGCCGGGCTCGGGCCTTAGAAAAATCTGTTAATACAGAGTAAAAACCGGGCCCGAGCCTGGCCTGGCCCATGAACAGGTCTAGTTCTGAACTACGCCTCACACCTTCGCGTTTTAAAACATTGATTAGCACTCCTCTTAGTCCATTGAACTTGACTTCCAGGTTTTGAATGATCTGTCTAACTTTCTTTTTCTCATTTAGAAACTTCCACAAACTAGAATCGTCCTTCATCAGCCAATTGATAGCCAACTTAGAATCACCTTCCACCATCAGTTTTCTGATATTTAACTCTTGGGCTCTTTTTAACCCTTCCAAAACAGCCAATATTTCAGCTCTAAGAGAATTCTCCCATCCAATAGAACCAGAATACAAAGCAATAATTCGACCTTCTCCATCCCCGAAAACTCCCCCTATACCCGACGGACCTGGATTTCCTTCACTACTACCATCAAGATTTAGTTTAGTGAACCCTGAAGCTGGAGGAGACCAAACTGGGTTAGCTGAAATCTTCCTTGGAGCTGACCAAGCCACTTCTTTCCACTTCCTGACAACGTCTCCTTCTGAATAGTTTTCAAAGAGCTGCAAAGTCTTAGCCCAATGGACCACCCTTATAGAGATTAATTCAATGATGACACCCTTATTTCTTTCTTTCCCATGAAAGGTCCTTTGATTCCTTTCCTCCCAGACTGTCCAACATACAGCTGCTCTTACACATCTCCACAGAATTTTCCCTCTCTTCTATAGCTCCCTAACAGAAGTAGAATGGAATAGGCTTTGTACATTTGGGGGGGGGGGTCCACCTGCAACCAAAAAGAGAGAAAAACCAACACCAGATCTCTGAAACAAATGGGCAGGAAACCAGTAAGTGATGACAAGACTCACCATTCTTCTTACAAAGGATGCACCAGTGCGGGGATAAACACCAATTTGGCCTTTTTCTTTGAAGTAAGTCTAAATGTAGTAGAAAAGGTGAGAGGAAGTAAAGGTAAAAAAGAGGAAGCTGAGTAGAGAAAATGAAAGGAAAGGAAACAAGTAAAGTCAATAGAGGTTAGGGGTAAATAAGTAGAGAAAATGAAAATAATCAGCTAGAATGTTAGGGGTCTGGGAAGTGCTAGAAAAAGAGCAGTCATTAAAGAGGCAATCAAGAAGATAAATCCGGATGTGGTAGTGTTGCAGGAGACCAAGAGGGCAGACTTTGATATCAGGTGGGCAAGGAACATTTGGAGAGTTGGGGGAATCAGTTGGGCTACGGCTTCTTCCTAGGGGGCAGCAGGGGGTATGGTGACAATGTGGAAGAATGATGTCCTCATAGGGTTGGAGGAATTGATAGGACAATTTACAGTTTCAGTTAAGTTTAAGCAAGTGGAGGATGGATTTGAGTGGGTTTTAACAAATGTGTATGGCCCAAATGATTATAGAGAGAAGGGGGAACTATGGGAAGAATTGGGTGATATTAGGGGACTGTGGGAGGGACCTTGGTGTATAGGAGGGGATTTTAATGTAATCAGATTCTTGGAAGAGACAAATAATCCTAGGTAGAGGGTGACCACTAGCATGAGGAAATTTAACCAGTTTGTGGATGCCTTTGAGATTAAAGAGATCCCATTCACATAGCAGATTTACATGGTCCAACCTCCAAATGAATCCTATTTGCTCTAAGCTGGATAGATTTCTTTTCTCAAATGATTGGGAAGAGCATTGGGGAAGCTTGACATCTAGGGCCCTTCCGAGGGTGACCTCTAATCATTGGCCTATTGTGATCTGTAAGGAAGAATTAAGAAATGCAGGGCCTGCTCCATTTAGGTTTGAAAACATGTGGCTAGGTCACCCGAGGTTTATTAGGAAAATCAAAGAATGGTGAGTCGAGAGCAATCCTGCAGTTGAGTGGAGTGGAATGAGATTCCACAAGAAGCTCCAATATCTGAAAAATAGAATTAAGGATGGGAACATCCTAGAATTTGGGAGGCTGGAGGAAAAGAAACAATTTGTGACTACACAAATTGAAGAGCTGGACTTGAAGGAAGAGAGGGGATGTCTTACAAAAGAGGATAAAGAGCTTAGATGGAGATTGCAGAAATAGTTAAAGGATTATCTATTCAAGGAGGAAATAAGCTGGAAGCAAAAATCAAGATGTAAGTGGTTGAAAGAGGGAGATAGGAATACAAAATTTTTTCATGTTGTGGCAAATGGAAGAAGGAGAAAGAGCTTCATCTCAAGTCTGGAAATTGAAGGAGTAACATTATCTAATCAAAATGAGATTGCATGAACTTTTGTTGAACATTTTAGATCTATCTTTAGAAGACCCATAAATAATAGAGTGTGGATTGAGGGACTAGTTGGGCCATCCTTCAGCTTAGAGGATAGGGAGTGGTTGGAGAGGAGATTTGACTTGGAAGAGGTGAAGGAGGTAGTTTTCTCTATGGATAGGTCAAAGGCACCAG